ATGTCTTCTGGGCGCAGGTAAGTCTGGGGGAGAGGAGACTTCACTGTCACCGGCTGCGGAGGGTGGGGTGGGATGGGGGAAATGGGAACATGAGGGGGGAATAATGCTCGACCACGGTGTAGCTGCGCCCACTCATGTTGCGCATGTCATATGCCTCGGGAATGTCTTCTGGGCTCAGGTAGGTCTGTGGCAGGGGGGACTTTACTGTCACGGGCTGGAGTGGGGTGCGGTGGAGTGGGGTGGGGTGGGTTGGGTTTGAGAGAGGGAAACATAAGGGAGGTTGTGCTGATTGTGCTCAACCACAGTGTATTGCGCCCACCCCTGCACAAAAAGTTGGGCCATTTGACTCAACCCACCGCAAACAACACAATTAAAAATAAAACAATGCAGCAATGATGGCGTACAATGGGGGTAGGACTCCTCTTGAAGAGGCAGACGCGCAATTAGGTTGGGCCTTTTGACGCAACCCACCACAAACAACGCAATCCAAAACAACCCAGCAACCATGGCGTACAATGGGGGTGGGGCTTCTCTTGAGGCAGGCGCATTCCTTGAGCCGCCCAAAAAGGTTCAAGTGGTGCTGCCCCTCTGACGCTGCCGCAGCTCCTTCAGCTGCTGCTGCTGCTGGCTCCCCATGCTCCATCTCCCCTCCCCTCCCCTCCACAACCTGCTGAATCAGCAGCCCTTCCGACCCAGCACCCTTGCCAGCCTCAGCTTCGAAAGCATCCGAGCCAGAGCCGGAGGCACGGCCCACGGCGGGCTCATAGGCTCGGGGGAGGGGATCTAAGGGCTGGGGGATGGCGCCAGATGGGAGAGGGTTGGTGTCAGGGTCGGCCCAGGAGCAGGTGAGCTCAATGCCGAGGTTGCGGTGGTGCATGCGAATGCAAAACAGGCCCTGCTCGCCCCTGCAAGGTGGGGATGGGCAGTGCAGGGATACACAAGAGAGCTGCGCTTGGCAGTGCCAAATTGTGAACGAAACATGTACCGGTTGCGTAACAAAAGCACAGAACACCGAGCGATGCTAGCACAGGCACCGCCAGCACTCACCACTCACTCCCATCCCATGATACCCACAGGCAGAAGCGAATTATACCATGCCATGCCCCGTGACGAATCATACGCACCATGCCATGCCCCAGGAGTTGCGGCCGATCCAGTACTCCTGCCCTGAGGCCTCATCCACGCCCCACCCCACAAGGGACACCTCGTGATTGGGCAGCGGCAGTGGCACAAACTGGTGGAAAATGCCGCCCGTGTACGCCTCGAACTGGTCTGTGACGTCCATGCCGCATGAGATGGGACCGCGCTTGAAGATCTCCGCTGCAGGGAGAAAAGGAAAGGCCAGGCCAGGGTGTGCAAGCAGGGGCAGGGAGGCAAAGGCAAGCAGTGACTTTGGAACGCCTCAAACTGGTCGGTCATGTCCATGCCGCACGAGATGGGGCCGCGCTTGAACATCTCCGCTGCACTCCGGGTTAAGCAGGCAAGGGCGCGCAAGCCGGAGAAGGTACCAGAAAAGTGGCACAAACAAGGGACAGTAAGTTTAGGACACAGGGGGGCAAGCACGTTATGGAGCAAGTCAGATAACAGACGAGTAAGTAAGATGTGGCACTAGACGATTACAATTCAAAATTTCAGCCCCAGTTATACACCTGAGCGCACATGCAGGACGAGTGGAGGATACGAAGACCGATTGTGTTCAGGCAAGAATGAGTTCACGGCCGGATCGAATGAAGCTGGGGATAGCTGTGATGATCTCGAACTTGGTTTTTTTCTTCTTCTCAAAAATCAGTGACAGCTGTGATGCTCTTGAACTCACAAAGCTGCTCCCCACTCCTTTGGCTCTCAACTAAAAAATCACCTCAGTGTTGAACAGTTGCTGCTGCTGCTGATCTTACCTTTAAGCTTGTCGGCTCTGGACATGCGGTTACCAACAGCATCCTCGTCAGAGCCTGCACGCAAAAAGCAGGAGTGAGAAGAAAAAAGACACACAACACAATCTTGAAGCTTCTGAATGAAAGGGAACGAGGAGAAAAGGCAGGAGCAGAATAAGACCAACACACAGGGTCCAGCCAGGGCACACAGTTCTGAACTGGGGAGCAAACAGAGCCACGTCACACACAGAGAAGCGCAAAGCAGAGGGAACATGCGCTTGTAAGGAGTATGAACTGTAGCTGGAGGAATGTTTGGGACGGACCTGAGAGCACAGAGCCGTACTGCTTGACACGCCAGAGGGTGAAGTTGGCGACAGGGAAGCATGTGCCAGGGGTGAAGGGCTCGGGGTGCACTCCAGGCACACAGTCCTCACACACCCTGGGAACAGCAGCACCATGATGGGATAAGAGCATTAACAGTCAGTGACAGGGAGGCACACGTGCCGGGGGTGAAGGGCTCAGGGTTTACTCCTGGCACGCTCACAATGGATGGAAGGCACCACTCTTACTTCCAAAAGATGCACACTCACCCCAGCGGGCGGCACTCCTGAACTCACTCACCCCAGCGGGCGGCACTCCTGGTCCTCCGCCTCGTAGTTCTGGCAGCTCTCGTGCGGCAGGCCGCGGTGCGCCATGTACTGCAGCGCCCTGAACGGATCGCCGCCGTTGCACGACCCGCCGCCCTTGCAGTTGAGCAGCACCTGCGTGGGCCAGATCCGATCAGATTGGATAGAATGAGATCGCCCTGTGTATCGTATTAAGAAGAGTTATTGCCTAAGCAAGCCAGACAACAAGAATTGCTGACACAGCGCAGGTGATAAAGCGACAACCAGGAGTGAGGCACGTTAGATGAGCGGATGTAGTTGAGGCTCTAAACGCAAAACGCGAGACGATACCTGGGGGGAGAGGACGATACCTGGGGGGAGAGCACGATGTCCGGCCATGCAGCGTTGCGCTTGATCTTGATGCGGTCCGACACTGCTGACGTGGTCGCGAAGGCCCAGCACGAGCCGCTGTTGACATTCAGATGGACATTGGCAGACGTTGATACGGAGACTTGGGAGGCATGGACAAAAGAAAAAATCTTTTGAGAAGGAATCTATGTCTGGTAATAAGATGATCGAGGTTTGCTTACAGGTATACGCCTATTTTCAGCATAGGGGGAAACTTGCGAGACGTTGCACTTCACAATCAGCGTCGTCGTACCAATATTGCGGGATGTGTTGGTTCCTGCTCTCCGTAAGATAGTTCACTCCGCTAACATTGCCCCAGAAGAAGTTTCGTGGAAGATCCGACTTCTTCAGAGTCTCATGCGATCGCGGCTCCGTGACGAGCTCTCCGCCGATGAACCCTCTGGCGTTTGGATCACGGCAAGGAGTGTGGGACTTGGATAGAAGCGTGCGACCTGACGCCATGGCCAGAGCCGCCATGGATGCGAGCAGGATAGCAAGAGTGACGGAATTCTGAGCCTTCGCCATTACGAGAAACGTTGCGCGAAGGAGTTACTCACGATACTAATCAATAGGCTAAATTATGAAGGACAGAGCTGGATTCTCGTTGCTCTCTCGCAAGAGAAAAGCTGCTATGGCTGCCTGTTCAGGCTTCAACTTGAAGTTTAGTTTGGCTGCCACAAGGAACTAGGCACCAACACAGCCTTCAAAACTCAAGTCGGACTACTCAGAAAAATGCTTGAGGGATATGCTCGAGGGAGGGGAGTGCGGAGCAGAGTAGTGGGCAGGGCAGCAGTTGAGGTTCGGCCGTCGACTATTTTTAACCAATAAGGGTTTCCAGGCAAGCTCTGGGTGAAGGGTGGAATCCCAAAGCTGCCTGAAGTTTTTCAGTGGTGATGTATTGCCACGTCATAAAGGAGCTGATTCCTTGCGAAACGCGAACCATGCGGCGTGGAAGCATTGGCTGCTGCTTTTGACGCTTGCCCCAGGTTGCGGCCTGGTTTGGAAACTCGAAGCTTGGCGCGGTATTGAGGTTCGGCTAAATCCTTCAAGGGCGACATGGTCGATGCCTTCAGTCGCCAAGGGGTTTGGTTCGGCGATACGTGGCCTGGAGGGTGCACAGCAAATGCTGCACCTTGGGATTTGGGGCGCAGCGGAAGGCGGTCCAGCCCAGGGGGAATGTGAGGAGGCGCAGAGGAAATGCTCGCAATCCTGTAAAGCTGCACGGTGTAAGGAAATTCCCTTTTCCTTACTTCGCGTCCCTGCTCAACGCGTACATCACTATAGCACCTCAGTCAGCACCGTTACCACCCGCGACCATCGCATCATTCATCATCCCGCCCCTTTCGCACATCGCATCCCGACCTCACGGCTCGGCTGGTAACCCGCGCTCCGGGCCTACGCTTCGACACTTTCCAAACCTCAGTCCTAGGCTCGTCGCGCGACCATTACCGTTACCACTATAGTTTCGCTATATAATGTTCGCTCATGCCTTCGCTCAATTGTATTCTTGCCTCGATAGTGCAATTCTCGTTCGTTCACTCAATTGCACTCGTAACACACAGACGCAAGTACTGTACAGTGCATTTTGAGGTGTAAGGATTTACGAATCATTACTGAGGCACTCGTTAGCGAGGTCATCCCGAGGTTCACGCGACGAACCTGTCTTGCCTATTTCGTCGCACCGAACCACCCCCGAGTCGTCCTCCGCTCCAATCGCAACCATCACCGAGCCATCCCACCCTGAACCCCCCGCCTAGCTAGCTTGTCCCCTATCTAGGCCTCCCTACTTCATTGTTTCTTCATTCAGTAATTCAGTAATTTCCATTCTCGTTATTCGTTTTACTGCGCACTCTGCAAGTTGATTCATAACATGAGGGGAGGCGGCGTTACAGGGTTACAGCTCAATGAAGAAGCCCAAGTTTGTTTCGATACCGAACTGAACCAGACGAAAAAGCTTGAACAACCTAGAAAATCCCATTCCACATCTTGCCCACTGAGTCAAAAGATAGTACCAGGACAGGACAGTAAATTCTCCAGGTATGTCAATGGCTGCCGTTACTAGCTGTTTTTAGGTCACTAGCTCAGCAGCTTATGTGTGGCCTCGGATAGTGAGGAAATGCAGGATAGTCTTCAGTACTGCAAGTGAGAAAGAGAACGAGTTTGAGCCTGAGCACCCTAATCTTCATAGTTCATTTTGTCTAAGCATCGTTCAGCCTTAGCTTTTCTTGGCTTGCAGCCGAACCATGGATGGCGAGAGGGGCACCGACCACGGACCCTCTGATGCCGTATCCTCACCCAGGCGTCAATCCCAGCCGTCCAATTCTCCCTCAAATCGACGGCTATCGCACCACGGCTCTCTTTCAAATCGTCAGATGGATCGTTTAGATTCCCCCAGCGGTTTATCCAATCACGGCTCGCCGCGCTCGTCGCTCTCACCCTCGCCGCTCGCGCGGCCCGGCGCGCGGGGCACCACCGCTTCGAATGCCGGCCGCCCTGTGGCGCACACCAGATCGGGGGATTCTCCGCGCGCGCCGCCCGCGGTGCAGTCGCTGCGCAAGGAGGGCCTCCACGAGGGGTGGCACCGCCGCTCCGCGTCGCTCGGCAGCTCGCGCCTCGAGATTGCCGACGACGACATAGAGGACTTCCAAGAGGAGACCGAGAGCGCGCACGACGGTCATCACGCGGACCACGATCACCGCGCGTACAGGGATCATCGCGCGGACAGCGAACAGCGCGCAGATCGATGGCGACCGCCGAAGCAAGCCGCGCCCAGGCCATCCCGCGCCTCTCCGCTTTCCGCCTCCCCGCTCTCCGCGTCGCCGCTATCTCTTTCCCCCCTTTCCATCCGCCACTCGGACGCGGGCAGTATGGGCTCACCGCGCGCATTGGGCTCCCCGCGTGCTGTCGGCTCCCCGCGCGCCGTGGGCTCTCCGCGCGCGATGGGCTCTCCCCGGTCCGTTGGCTCTCCGCGATCCGTGGGCTCCCCTCGGTCCGCACGACTGCGAGGCGCGGAAAAGGCTTGGGATGCCGTGTCGCGGCAGGACTCGGTCCGCAGCACCGGCAGCCTTAAGGGCGACCGAGCCTCGCGCTCAGGCTCGGACTTTGGCGTGTCAGGTCCACGCCGCGTCAACAGCATCAGCGGCGGGGGAACTGTAGCGCGCGTGCGCAGCGGCGGAGGAGCCGCAGGCCATGAGGGGCCAGGGAACAAAGCTCATTCTCCCCCTACCGGGTTTCCCCCGCGCCCCCGCGGGATAATGGTGAAATCGTCTAGCCTATCAGTAAGCTCACTCGATCAGCCGTATCGACGGTCCGTGTCGTTCGATCTCAAAGAGGACGACGACGAGCCCGCGGGCTGCGTCCGAAGCGCGTCGAACCCCGCGCTTCTGCACGTGAGGAGCGGAACCGGCGCAGACGGGGGAAGGGCGGGGGAAAAGGGGGGGATTGCGGGACGCCTCGAGGACGATGTGGGGGATGATAGCTCCAGTATAGACAGTCTCGATTGGGAAGGGGAAGAGGAGGACGTGGGCGGAAGCGAGCAGGAGCAGGAGAAGCGCGAGCGGCTCTCTCACGCGGGGTTGACTCCGCGGGACTCCTCCGCGCAACCTTCCGTTCCGCGCAACCGCTTTCCGCAACACTTCGGCGCGCCCAGCGCTGCTGGTTCCAGCCGCGGGGGTCCCGACGGCGCGGCGTCAGGCGGTGCGCGCGGCGCGCACCGTCAGTCGCTTTCTTCCCCCGCGCACGACCTTGCGCCGCTCCCCCTCAGTTCCGCTTCGGGGGAAGCGGTGGTGGCGGGAACAGTGCTGGCTCCCCGTAGGCAGGTTAGGCAATCGGATTATAGCGACGAGAGTGACAATAGCGAGGGTGACGGTGGGGGGGAGGGGGGCCAGGGGCGGAAGGTTAGCGCGCGGGGCAGGTCCGCTGGTGTGGCAGGAGCCAGTTCCGCGCAAATCAGCGCAGGGGGGAAGGACAGGGCGATGGGGGGCGAGGGGCGGGGGAACAGGGGAGGGCAAGTGGGGGGAAGGGGCGCGGGGAGGGGTGGGGGAAGGGGAGGGACGATCAGTGGCCCATTTTCCCCAGAACAGCGGGTCAGACAACCTAAGAGAGACGGGGAAAGGCGAGCAGGAGGGCGGGTTGGCGGAGAAGCGGGAGGGGGGGACGTTGTGGCTGTTGGGGGGAGCGGGGGGGCGATGGGGCAACCGTTTGTGATGCAGTTTAAGGTGGCTGGGGTGCTGAGTGGGGAGGAAGATGAGGAGGATGAGGAGGATGAGGATGAGGATGAGGTGGAAGAAGAAGACTTGAATGATTCAGAGCTTGAAAGGAGAGTGGGGATACGGAGCACGGGGGAGAGAGCAGCGGGCGCACAGGCACGGGGAGGAGCGCCTGTGAAGGCAGCGGTGAGGGTTGAGAGGGCGGGGAGGGAAGGTGGGGGAAGTGCAGCGCGTGCAGAGGGGTGGCGCGCGCGGGAGGAGCGGGCGCGAGTGCTGGCGAGTGACAGTGAGGATGCGAGTGACGAGGAGGAAACGGGACGAGGGGTGAGAGAGAGAGGAGGTGTGAGGGAGGGTGAGAGGAGGGGCAGCGAGGGCATGAACTTGGATAGGAGCGATGGGCGGGGCAGTGCTAGTGTTGCTGGCAGTGCTCCTGGTGCTGTCAGTGCTGCCAGTGCTGCGAGTGCTGGTGGGTTTTGCAGTGATCTGAGTGACAGCGAGGCGGAGGAGGAGGAGGAGCTGCGACAGCTGGCACGGGAACGGCAGCGGCTGCTGCAGGCGAAGCTCGGGCAGCAGAACCCCACGGCTTTTCACGAGAACGGGCTGCCCGAGAAAAAGGTTGGGGCTGTAAGCAGCCAGGGAGTAGCAGGCAGGGGGAGGGACGGGGAGGGGGCACTGAGCGAGGGGAAAAGCCGGGCGAAAGTGTCAAGTGTGGCAGGGGGGAGAGGAGCGGAGGAGGATGATGATGGGTTGGAGAGGGAGTGGGAGTGGGAGTGGTCCCGCGTGAGGCAGAACCAGCGAGTCTCTGAGCTCAGGGCTGCTCCACAGGCGTTCCTCTTCAAGAGTGCTTCTGTTGGCGGCGCTGCTGCTGTGGTTAGCAGACCAGCAAGAGGTGCGGCAGCGGTAGAGGCAGACGCAGAGGAGGAGGTGGAGGGGGAGGATGAGGAGGAGTGGGGGGAGAGTCCTGAGCATGCATCCAGGGCGCATTCGCTACCGCGCGTGGGTGGGTCGGCGGATCCGCGGCTTCTTGGGTTCGTGAAGTCGCAGTCTTTGTCCACTAGTGGCCGCCCGACCACTGCTGACTCAGCAGCGGTTACCAGACGAAGCCGGTACCTGAGAGGAGCAGAGGGGCAGCAGCAGCAGCAGCAGCAGCAGCAGCAGCAGCAGCAGCAGCAGCAGCAGCAGCAGCAGCAGCAGCAGCAGCAGCAGCAACAACAACAGAGGCCCCCGCCTTGGAGGCAACCCCATGGGATGAGCCGAGAACGTGATCTGGGGGAGGGGCAGGGGCGGGCAGTGGGGCGAGACGCGGGGAGGGATGGAGGAAGGGAGGTTGGGAGGGAGGGAGACCCAGGTGCAGCAGTGAGACAGGGAGTAGCACCAACATCGCGCAGAAGATCAATGGAAGGGGAAGGAATAGCAGGGAATGAGGGTGGCGGGAAGGGCTTACCTGTGCGGACCCGTGTCGTGGAGCATCTGCGAACAGAAGGGGGGGGAGGAGGGGGGAGCGGAAGGGGTAGGCACAGGAGAACAAGCTCTGACCCACAGATAGGGGCAGCGGTGCTGGCACGGAGAGGACAGGGTGTGGGGAGGAGTGGGCTGGCTGCGAGTCGAGCAGGGGAGAGAGTAGGGGAGGGAGGCGGGCTTGGGAGAGAGAGTGGAGGGGGGTGGAGAGGGGTGGAGAGGGGTGGAGAGCGGCGAGGCCAGGACGGAAGAGCGAGAGTGGAGGGATCAGTGGCAGTGGAAGCACGGGGTTGTGAGTTGAAGGGAGAAGAGACGGCTGCTCCTCAGGAGCCTGCTTTGGAAAGGGAGCTCACATTCAGGCTCGACTGAAGCTTACCAGGGCTTTTGGTCATTCTTTGAGGCGCCTTAAGAAGAGACTAGAAGGGGGAAGAGATGGGTGCAGCTCAGGAGCCTGCTCTGGAAAGAGAGCTCACGTTCTCGTGGAGAGCTCGGGTGAGTTCTCGTGGGAATACCACCTGTGGGAGGGGAGGGACTGGTGGCAGTGGAAGCAGGGATGTGTCAGTTGAAAGGGGGGCAGACAGCTGCTGCTCACAAGCCTGCTTTGGAAAGGGAGCTGACGTTCAGGCTCGGCTGGTTCTTGGGAATACCAAACGGTACCATTTTTGGGTTTGCTTGCTGCTGATTTGCAGTTGAGTTGATGGTGCACAATTGCCTGTAATCCCGTGTATTGCACAGTTACCTGTAGTATCTGTAGGTAGTGGAACAGGTACGTATATTGGCAGGATCAGGGCACACTTCTTTGTAGGACAAACAAAGCTATAAGTTTAATGTACTTAGAAAGCTTGCTCTCTTTTATATAGCAATGGCATCGTCTCATTTCAAGTGGGGTTTAGTACAATTGAAATCCAAGCAATTCTAGCAGACCAATAAACAAACACTTCCTATGGTTGTCGCTGGTTCCGCGGGGTGGGCGGGCGGGAAAATTGGCTAAACCGTTTGAAAATGAGAGACGTGGGTGGAGGGAAATGACCTCCAGCCCACGTTTTGTACTCCAAAACGGGCGTTTAGCGCGATTCTACTCTACCCATTCCTACATTACAAACAGCTTCGCTTTCAAAAAACAATTTTTTGAAAAGCGTTACAACTTTTAAAAATATTCATATTTAGAAAGCTTGCTTTCTTTCATGTACCAATTGCATCATCTCATTTCAAGTGGGATTTTTTAGACATGCGTCACGGTGGTTGCCTTTGTCGAATCAGAGCCGCTGAATGTTGTGCTGGTGACGAAGCTCGCACCGAGTCTAGTACATGTCTTAAGGCTCCGACTAACTGGTCGACCGCCGGGGTGACGTACATCTCCTTGGCAGTGTCGCTGCGCCACCGACCCAGCCGTTTTAGGATGCGATCTGGTACTCCTATGTTGGCGGCGGTCGTCGCGGCGCCTTTGCAGAATGAATGGGTGCCGAGATGCTCGAGGCCTAAGCCGATCTTTTGGAATGCCTCCTTGCACCAGTTGCGAATTGTTGTGTTAGAGGGTGCTTTGGCAGCCTTGCCAGGGCCTGAGGTGTCAGAACCGAAGACGCGTATGAGCGGGCCTCTCTGTGCGTGGTCATATCCCGCCAGCTGGATGAGGCATTTGGTGCACCGTACTGGGCAGAAAGGGGCCTGAGCTTGCGGCAACAAGAATCCATATGCCTTCTCCTGCCTAGTTTGTCTTAGAGCGGGGAATTAGGAGCCACATGGCGTCATTCTCGAACTGAATGTCGTGCCAGTTGATTGCGACAAGGTCCGAGTAGCGCAGAAAGCCAGCGTACATTAGAATTGGGGCGAGTCCCTTCTGGAACTCGCTGGGGTTGTGCGACTCAAGATATTTCGACGCCATGTCGTGGACTTGGTGCAGAGAGACGGGTTCTTTGAGACGTTGGGGGCACGGATAGTGTCGCTTGGCGAAGTCTCGCACTTGGGTTGTTAACGGACCAGTTGATGGGCACGGGGCCCCGATCATTCGATGTGCGAAGCTGACTGCCGAGCACGTCAGTTGTATCACCGATACGGTAGCCTTTTGATGAATTGCGTGGACCAGATATAGTGCGAGCGTCAGGTCTGTGCATGGCAGGAAATTCAAGTCCCACCCTTTTGTTAGTTTGTTTTCTTCTTCTTCTTCTTCTTCTTCTTCTTCTTCTTCTTCTTCTTCTTCTTCTTCTTCTTCTTCTTCTTCTTCTTCTTCTTCTTCTTCTTCTTCTTCTTCTTCTTCTTCTTCTTCTTCTTCTTCTTCTTCTTCTTCTTCTTCTTCTCTCTCTCTCTCTCTCTCTCTCTCTCTCTCTCTCTCTCTCTCTCTCTCTCTCTCTCTCTCTCTCTCTCTCTCTCTCTCTCGAATGGCCCGTGTATTAGCTGAAGGGTGGTACAAAGGTTTGAAGCAGACACATGCAAACTAGGCAAACAAGCAGACCTATCAACCATCACCTACTCCCCTCCCCTCCCCCCGCTGTCCGACCCTAGTGGTCGGACGGGGGCTCGATCAGCTGGTGCAGCTGCCCCTCGTTGAGAGGGGCCCACGGCCCTTGCAGGCTAAGCTCGTCCGCCTCCAGGGCCTCGTTGGTCTTGGTGCGGAGAGCATTCGCCAGTGCCCTCTGGAGGCACACGCTCCAGCGCTGGCGGTACTCCGTCAGCAACTTGGCAGCCTCTCGAGAGGTAGGGGCCGCGTTGTAGCGGAGCTTCGCAGCCAGCTCCGCGCACTGCCGCAGGTAAGCCAGTACCCCCGGCGACGGGTAGCCGTAGGTCTCCACGGCCAAGGCGTGGAACCCCACCCACGCATTCCGTCCCGCATATTTCTCCTCCTTCCGAGCAGCTGCCGCCCTAGCCGCCCAACCAGGTGCGCGGTTGCAGTTCTCGTCCTGGAAGGACACTGGGTCGGTCACGGTCACGTCACAAAGCCACACTTCTCCGGTCAGGGGATGGCGGATGGAGACATCCGCTTTAAGGTTTTCAACCAGAGAGTAGGCATAGGTCTCCTTGCGATTTCATCCCTGAGAGCATGGTGTGTGGCAGTCCTCCCTTTCCCCTTCTCGCAACGCATAAGGTGATTCGGGAGGCGGTCATCAGGAAAGGTGGTGCGGTATCGGCAGTCGCACCGCCTTGGGACAGGGAGGGGGAGGCCTAGGCGGAAGGAGGAAGCAGTAGAGTGTTGGGAGGGGCCCAGCCTCAGCACACAAGAGAGTGGGATTGCCAGCAGCCAGCCCCCTGCTCTCGGGCCCAGCAGGGACTGCATCTGCTGAGCATGCCCTGAGAGGGGGTTTGGGCACATACGCCGCGCCGTGTTCAGCACTCGGAGGTAGAGGCGGGTGTGGACCACCAGGGCCAGGGACTACTGGAGCTTCAGTTCCTTGGGGTCGCTCTTACCAGCCTGAAGGGCCTCCAGGCCATCAGGGGGCAGGGCCGCTTCAGCTGCAGCTAGGCGCGAGGGCAGGGCTGCTGCGGAGTCCGGGGCGGAGTCCATAAGGGGGAGCAGTGCGGCTATGGCGGGGTGTAGGGAGTCGGCTAGCGAGTGTAGGAGGTGAGCCGCGCCGACCACCGAAGCGAGGTACGCGTAACTCCCTTCCACGGCCGGGTCCGTAATGCCTAAACCCCCCAAGGTAACGGGGAGCGCTGCCTGCCGCCAAATACGCCTCCTTTCCGCGTTGCTTCTTGGCGCAACAATGTGTGCGGCCTCTAGGAATGCGTGGAGCAGCCGCTCCCCCCATGGCGACCATTCTGCTGTGGGCAGGACCTCCAGCGGGGTTGTCCTTGCCAGGAAGGAGGCGCGGCGGCTGACGCAACGTGTGAGGAGGAGGAGGCAGAGCTGCGGGTCCATTTGCGCTAGCAACGGGAGCGGTTCAGCTGCTGCCGTAAGCCTGTCCCTGACTGCCGCGGCGCAACCCTGCGTTGTGCCGACGGGGCTGCCGAGGATTTGCAGCCCTTTGGTCGAGATGGTGATGCCGGTCGAGATTTGCTCTCTCTCTCTCTCTCTCTCTCTCTCTCTCTCTCTCTCTCTCTCTCTCTCTCTCTCTCTCTCTCTCTCTCTCTCTCACTCACTCACTCTCTCTTTCTTTCCCAATTCTCAGCTTGGTGTGCCTGATTAGTCCTCCTCCTTGTGGGGTCGCAGCCCCAACCGTCTTGCATTGTCTCCCCTTCTTTTTATCTCTCTCCCCTCCTTTTCTTTCCTCTCCTCTCTCTCTCTCTCTCTCTCTCTCTCTCTCTCTCTCTCTCTCTCTCTCTCTCTCTCTCTCTCTCTCTCTCTCTTTTTGGAGCGAGCTTGTAAGCCTCCATGCCATGTGGATGCTCCCTCTTTGCAGCGTCTTGCATACGTTAAAAACAAGGGCCCTTTGGGCATATAGCATCTTAATAGATGGTTTGCCAAACATTGCCCATTAGGCATTCAAAAACCCCCAATAAGGCATACAAAAAACCATATCTCATAGAGTAGTTTACTCTAGGACTCCTAGTCCTATGCCCCTTGCCTTGGGGTTGGCCGGCGGCCATTCTAACGTCCCCAGCGGCCTTGCACTCCCTAGTGCCTCTTTGCTCATGCCCCTCGACACGGGTAATTGCCCTTTCGGAAATTTACACCACCGGTGCGGGCCCTTGGGCTCCCGCCCCATTTTCGGGGCAAGCATTGGCCATATGGCCCGGCTGCCCGCAGCGAAAACAAGAGCCCTGGAAGCCTCTGCCATTGCCGTCAAGTGGCGGGCCCCGCTTGTTGCCAAAGGCCATGGGCCCGCGCCCTCCGCCGCGTGGGCCACGATTGGAATTGGCTTGGGCGCGCTCCATTGCCGCTACGTCCGCGACGGCCCGTTTGAACGGGCGTGACGTGAAGATGCTCTTGTCTTCGTAGAGCTTGAACCTGTTTGCGGTGCGGAAGTTGGTGTAGTCGGCGACGTGAAGTAACTTGAAGCGGTTGGCGATGAGCGTGAAAGCTTCGCCGAGGTATTCAAGGGCGCTCTCGGGCTCGTTGCGTCGCACCTTGTGCTCCGCGTGCTTCAAGTATGCTCGCAGGTGTTCCAGGACCTCGGCTTGCTCGCGCACGGCGGGGTTCTTGAACGAGGCGGCGGTGAGAGTGGGATTCGGGAAAGGGAGCGGGGGGGTTGCTCAACGGGTGCAAAAGCGGCATTTACGGCATGTGCCTCACCATTGTTGTCGTCTTCATTATCGCTGCCGGTGGGGTTGTTCGGCAGCAGCGCGGGTGTCTTTGCCCCTTCCGGTTTTTATCGTGCGAGCGCGCTTCACGGAGTCCGTTTACGCCTTTTCCCTTTTAGCCGAAACAGAAGTTGCGTTTGGTGTAGCAATTTCTTCAGTTACAGGAGCAGGGGCCTGCTCCTGTAACAGGGTCAGCAGCTGGTGCAGTTGGGCTGTAGTGAAGTTTGGCGCCACTTGCGCGCCAGACGCCATTTGCGCGTGGGAGCCCACACGCGCGTGGGGGCTCACAGGCGCGTCAGGGCCCACAGGCGCGTCAGGGCTTTGAGACCTGCGTTGCTGACACGGTCGCGTGGTGCCAGTCACGCTGGTTGGCGCCAACTTGGCGCCTTCTGTCGTGGCCGGCGCGTCAAGGGCCACAGGGGCTCGAGGCACACCAGCGGCGTGTGCCTCGACGCCAGGGGCGTGTGCCTCGGTCCCGCCCAGCAGAACGTCGACGCCAGACGGGGAAATTTCCCCGTCGTCTGCTCGACGCTTGTTAGGGCGATCACCTGCGATTTTGCGTGCGTTTCTTGCGGACTCAGGTTGAGCGGGGGCGGTAGCGGTATTAGACTCTCCTCCATTAAGTGCCATAGTTGCTGCGTTGTGCGCGAAAATGTCCGCGAGTAAAGTCGACGGGGATTGAAAGCGAGGAAGAGACTTGGTCCTCGCCAGCTTGAGTGTGGGAGACGGAAAATTGGCTAAACCGTTAGAAAACGAGAGACGTGGGTGGAGGGAAATGACCTTCAGCCCTCGTGTTGTACTCCAAAACGGGCGTTTAGCGCGATTCGACTCTCCCCATTCCTACATTGCAAACAATTTCGTTTTCAAAATACATTTTTTTGAGTAGCGTTACAGCTTTTAAAATATTCATATTTGTGAACTGAGGATACCTACATGGGATTTATGCTACAGCTATCATCCTGCTCTTGCGAACATTGGGAAAGTCCCTAAGGAGAGGTCCTTAAGGTCCAATACATACCATACCATATAAGAGGGCCCATGGTGTTAGAATTTCTTCTTGAGCTTAGGACTTCGAGATGGCTAAGGGAATGGTGGGAGGATAGGAGAAAGGAGAGGGGTTCATTAAAAGAAATGAGTACAATGAGCGAGAAAATGCTCCACCACTATCAGAATCCCAGCCGCTAGACCATTCGGATAAAATTACATGTTTGTGTTGCGAGTCCCTGTGCCCACAACCCCCCAGCGGGTCCTAAGGGTACCCTGTGGAGCCCTTGGCAGTTAGTCTATGGTCTCCAACAGGCGCCATGCGAGTGGCACGACACGCTAAGGACTACACTTGCGGCTCTTGGGTTTGCTCCTTCGACGGCTAACCAGTCACTCTTTCTGCGCATCGACCCTGCTTTGCCGATGTTCTACATCCTCGTGTACGTCGACAACTTGATCTTTGCTACTCTTGACACTGAGGTATTGGTTTTTGTGAAGGTGGAACTGCTGAAGAGACACGCTTGCATTAATCTGGGTGAGCAACGCAGCTATCGTGGATTGCATATCACTCAAGACAGAGACTGGCGCACCTTCATTCTAACTTACTCATACAGGTGCACCAAGTCCTTCATCACTTCGGCTTCCAACTCTCCTCTCCACAGGCCACTCCTCTGCCTACTGGCCACTCCTCGGCCTACTGGCCACTTGCTCTTAGCTCCACCTTCGAACGAGTCCGTAGATCCGAGTGGTCGATATCTAGAGCTTGTAAGCCGCCTCATGTACCTGATGACCTGCCTCGACCTGACTTCGCGTACCCTCTCAGCATCTTCGCACGCTAAATTGCGCCCCGGACACACCAACAGAGCACTGGCGGGCTGCTACGAGGCTGCTGCGTTACTTGTGCAGCACATCAAGCATGGGGCTTGTGCTTGAAGGACGAGATTCAGTTGTATTCCGTGGACACTCAAAGGTTTTTGGGGTTACATTTTCAGTCTTAGCTCCGATTCAGTCTCCTAGAGGTCTATCCCCTCGTCTTCTGTGCTCAGCTCCAATTGTGAGGCTGAGATCTACGCCGGGGCTATGGCTGCACAAGAATTATGCAAGCTGACCTACCTGCTGACTTATTAGGGTGAGCGGCCTCGTCTTCATCCAGTCCTGTACGTCGACAAAAATGTCATGGTTGCCTTGTGTCCGGAGCGGAGTCTGGAGCACAGAACGAATCATATTTCTTTGCGTTACTTCCTCACACGAGAGTTGCACCAACGTGGTCAGCTTCGCCTTGCTTACGTAGCCTCACATGCCAA